TAGCAGTCCTACAAGGCAAATTGATGAAAAAATGAGAAAACTGAACCAAGCCAAATTAGTCTTCCACAATATTAAAAAGCTATATGCTTTTATCCTTTCAGTTTTTTTCAGTTTTATTGAAAATGTGGTAGGCAACTAAAATTAGTAAAGATAAAATAACTAAATTTACTATTTCAAAATTATAATTGACCAAAGCATTCTTCATTATTAATATCAAATTGTTCAGTTTAATATTTAAGCACTTTAAAATTTGTCTGTTCAATAAAAACTTTTATTGATAATGTTGTTACTAAAAGGGAAAAAGGCATGGTCAGCTGTCAGGAAACCAGATGGTGGCTGGTAAAATATTTCAGAATATATGTCACTTTATGAACTTAAAAAAATTATCTTACAAGGTTAGAGATTACAGTTATAAATAGCCTAGGAGAAAAGAAAGGCTAATCACTTTAAAATGAATTTGACGTTTTATCTATAATGTTTACATTGGAGAGAGCTCACGTCTATGTCAATGTTGTCTGATGTATGGTTAACATCATTTTCCCTTTATAAAGCCTATGCCTATCATAGATCATCAGTTTCATTATTGTTCTACTTGGTATTTTTTATTCTAAGACACAGAGGCTCATTCACACATCTTAAGACAAAAAGTTTTTAATGTAAAAATGTATGTATACTGAACTCAAATCGTAACTGAAAAAACTTTGGGAACTAAAGCTGCTCCAGGGATTGATAGTTTTCTCCTCTCTTTTGTGATCCTTATAGTAATTGACTATTCTTGACAGTTCTACCTTTTTTATATCTGCTTCACTCTTCTCTCTTCATTCTTCCCTCAACCAACTTTGTTGGTTGGCGGTATATCCTCAATGATTATGCTTATAATGAATAAGTGGGTAAAATAAGTGGGAATTAGGGAAAAAAAAAAAAAAAAAGGAACAAAGGCAATATTGCAGAAGGTTTCAAGAATTAATTAGAAAAGCAGGTGTAAAATGCTTATATAAGTTTGCAGCATATAATACATGCTGCATAAGGGTTAGTCAAAGATTATCAGCTCCATTGTAATTTTACTCATTAAGGTCATACTTTGAGAAACAGGAACAAAGCATGGGTTATGTCTGATTTTTGAAGAGCAAAGATTATAAGACTATATCCAAAATGTTTTATTCCAGCATTTCAGTTTTACAAGTATCAAACATACATTTTTTCTAAAAAAGAAGTTTTTTTTACCATGAAGAGTGACCAAAGAGAGAAGTGGTTAAAATATTTGTTCATAAAGTCACTGTTTGTGTTATAAAGAAAATTTCATTAAGGCACTTAAAAGTGTGTGTTCCTCATCAGTTCATGTGAAAAATAAACGGACTCTAAAAAAGAGAGGCACTGGTTGTTAGAAGATTTCACTAAGCTCAATGCTGATGTAGCGCAGTTATTTTAAATTTCTACTTCTCTGATTTTCTTTTACTTGGTCTCTAGTCTATTACATACGAGTATTTGAATTTACATAAAAGTACTAAACTTCCTATTTATTTCAACAAATAATATACATGTTCCCAAGTGTAGAACAATCCTAAACTATTGTGAAGGCTACAAACAGCCTTTCTCTCATAATGTTTGACAAGAGAAAGCCATTTACCTTCAATAAACTTTTGGTGAAGACAAAAAGATAACTACCAACTCAATGCCTATATCCTTAAGCCAAAGCTACTTTCAAATTTAAAAGCATTTCCAATAATAAAACGGAAAAAAAATTAATAAAAACTACTATCTCCAAAACATCATTTTCATTAATTCAAAATTAGACACTTTAATTAAACATCCCCACCTTTTCATTATCATGCATGGTTAATAATTTCTTTAGATGAAAGTGGTATATATTACTTATTTCTGAAGTTTAATACTTTGGTAATTATTTTGAAAGCTAGAAAACTACTGGAGGAGTAAGAGACAACTGAGACGACTGAGTTTTTGAGGTTATATCCTCAAATACTTGAGCATGCTTTTCTAAAAGCGTTGATCATTTTAAGCATTTACATGACAACGTAATGAAATGACAAGCAATAAAAAACTGAAATTGCAAAACTGGGTTTCATATTTGCTTGTAAACATGACTTTGCTGATCTTGGGTCTTTCAAAACTGTGCTTTTAATGCAACAACAACACAGCTCCTGCTCATAATAAAATTAGAAGAACAAGCTAAATTCTGAACCAGAAACAATTTACAGAAAACAACAACAGCAAAAATAGTAACAACAAAAATAAGTATCACATAATGAAAAAAAATAAAGTACTTTAACAAAATAAAGCAAGTACTGGCTTTTTTTTTTTTTTTCTGAGACAGAGTCTCACTCTGTAGCCAGATACCAAGCTGGAGTGCAGTGGCGCAAGCTCGGCTCACTGCAAACCTCTGCCTCCAGGGTTCAAGCAATGCTCCTGCCTCAGCCTCACAAGTAGCTGGGACTACAGGTGTGCAACACGATGCCCAGCTAATTTTCTTTTCTTTTTTTTTTTTTTAAGTAGAGATAGGGTTTCATCATGTTGGCCAGGATGGTCTCGATCTCTTAACCTCGTGATCTCCCTGCCTCGACCTCCTAAAGTGCTGGGATTACAGTCATGAGCCACCATGACTGGCCTGGTACTGGCTATTTTTAAAACTAATAGCTATTGAGCACCTGATAGTTGCAAGCATCACATTTAATGCCCACTGTCCTGTTTATTTCAAATTGCCTTTCTCTCCAATGGGCCCTAGAATTAGCCACATGTTAAATTTAAGAAGCGTGGTTTGATACAAGCTCATAAATTACCTATGCTATATATTTTGTACAGTCTCTTCATTCAAATTGCAAGCATTTTCCAAGTGACTAAATTTTACTTTAAAAAGCTTACAAAGTATGGCCATCTAATCAGGTAGTTATTATGTAAATAGATGTGATCTGTATCTAATCCCCAATTATTGAATACTCACCAGCATTGATAACTATTATTTGTCTAAACTTTGCTAGTTATATAAATAACTCATACATTTTCATGCAGGAGGGCTTGAATAAATATCATCATGCAAAATTAGCAAAATATTCATATTATTTAAACATACTTTATTTAAATTTTTTCCCAAAGAATAAGTTTCAAAATCTTTAAGCCCTCAAATGAGAATAATAAAAAAGAATTATTCATTACCAGCCACTTTATTAATCTTGGAGTGTCAATTTTCCTTCCATGGCCAATAAAACAGAAGTTTTGCAAACAATTCAAACTCTCCAATGGACCCACTCCTGCACACTAATCCATTATCTTCTTGGTTGGCCAAGGGAGGCCCAATTATACACATACACCACCCAGAAAATCTGCACTGTCATGTCTCCCTCCTCCAAGTCCACTATCAAAGGCAGGTACAGATTTTGCTCACTTCAAATTGATGATTATAGTATGTACCTACAAAAATTAAAAATGAAAATGAAAAATATAAAACAATTGATAATGATATAGCTCCTTGGGAATATCCCTTAAATTACTCTTCTCTCCAGGAACATCCTCACTGATGCTGAATTTATTCCCACTCTGAGCAGAGTGGGAATTGCAGAAATCCCTGAGGCTTTAGAGGCTAGGCTAAGTGGACATGGATGAAACTTGGAGGTGACAAGATATAGAGGTACCAGACCTCCTGTGACTTTTTTTTTTTTTTTTTTTTTAAGTCTCTCTCTGCCTCCAGGCTGGAGTGCAGTGGCACAATCTTGACTCACTGCAACCTCTGCTTCCCGGGTTCCAGTGATTCTCCTGCCTCAGCCTCACAAGTAGCTGGGACTACAGGTGCAGACCACCACACCCAGCTAATTTGTGTATTTTAGTAGAGACGTGGTTTCACCATGTTGGCCAGGATAGTCTCGATCTCTTGACCTTGTGATCTCCCTGCCTCGAAGTGCTGGGATTACAGGCGTGAGCCACTGGCACCAGGCCTCCTGTGACTTTTTAAAAAAGAACAGTGGGGGATTTTCTACCCACGTAGGATGGGAGGACTTACTTTCTGTACAATTATGTCTGCCAGTACCAACCACATATAAACACTTCCATTACATAAACCCAGAGGCAGTTAATATTCGTAATGAAGACAAAAGCACACAGAAAACAATTGTATTTCTCTTAAATCATAGTTTACACCAAACTAATTGAATTTAAAAGTAACTAAACAAGAAACATCAATTAGATATCTATTCTCTCTCGTATAATTAGGTTGTTTTATTGCCCATGTTTCATAACTGTTGCAAAGCAGCTTTTAAAACCTATCATTAGTGTTCCAGAAAAAAGAAATGAGAAGTGTTATATGTTTTGGACTCTAAGGTGTTGTTTTGATAGGTATGCTGCTGTTGAAATTAGATCCTCTTGACAAACAGGTGTTCTCAGTACACATGATTTTTAAAACATCCTGACCTGTTAGAAACAGTTATACTGACAGTTACAGCTACTAAGATTAATCATTGCAGTTGCTCATGAGTACTTTGTTTATATACTAGCCAAATCTAAACCAAAGCAAGTTATCATGAATGAATCTTCTCTACTCTCCTCACTTCGAGCAAGAGAAACAATAGGTTTAAAAGCAAGTTGGTTTCAAAGGTAAAAGAAGCCGAGATCACTCCACTTAATTTCATCCTTGAGAATCTACGTCTAGAAGAGGTATCTGTAAAAGTGGTCTCCATGAAACTATTTAAATGTGTGCTTCTTTTGTTCAACCTTCCTCCCATTTTCCCTTTTCTAGAATAAGCACCATCGGGCGATAAATTAGAGAATACTGTTCTACAAGATCATATTTATAAGTGACAAAAACTTTCATGGCAGTTTCATACAGAAGATGTGCTGGATATATATAATTCCATATATAATATGTAATTCAGCTAGTGGGGACATTTCTTTAGTGCCTGTATTAACGACTCTGTACTCCTTTTTATGTCTTTTTCCTCATTTAGCCTAATGATAATAATAGCCAAATTCATAATAAAATTCAACTTCACACTTACTGGCACATCGTCGACCTTCACAGCCATCATCTGGACTTTCATGTCCACGATCCCATTAATATTTGTAACAATCCTGAAAGAAATTCTGAGTATTACTTTAAATATCTTGAAATCATGTAGCAGAGGTTCACAAAGATTATATCAACTCCTGGCCTTAAAAAGCTGGCAAACAAAGTGAGACATGCTGGAATTTTTTTTTTTTTTTTTTTTTTGAGACAGAGTTTCGCTCTTGTTACCCAGGCTGGAGTGCAATGGGGCGATCTTGGCTCATCACAACCTCCACCTCCTGGGTTCAGGCAATTCTCCTGCCTCAGCCTCCTGAGTAGCTGGGATTACAGGCACACGCCACCGTGCCCAGCTAATTTTTTGTATTTTTAGTAGAGACGGGGTTTCACCATGTTGACCAGGATGGTCTCGAGCTCTTGACCTCGTGATCCACCCGCCTTGGCCTCCCAAAGTATTGGGATTACAGGCATGAGCCACCGCACCCGGCCAGGAATTCTTTTTATTCTATCACCTACTATCCCTTCCATAGACCTGCCCTAATAACCACACTCCCGTTGATTTCTCCTGGAATTCCTTCGGTATTTACATAAAGAACACACAATTTAGCATGTGAAGGCTAGCTTGTATTGTTCTGTAATGAGCTCTCCCATGCTTTACTTCTTAAATGAGATTTTACCCTCCTCAAAGGTAAACATCTTTTGTGCCAGCCTTTCAGCATCACACTGTATTAGTGGGCAAGGGTGGAAACACAAGACCTACTTGGGTGACACTTCTTTGCTTAACAGAATCTGTACTGCTCTTTGCAGACCTAGATCCTTCTCTACTGCATCTTTTTGCCTTTGCTTCCTGCTATACTTTGTATCTCAGTTTTCCATAGGTGGTGGTTATTGCTCTCATCCTTAGATGCCCAGTTCTGCCTTCAAACCCTCATACTTTTTCACCTGCTGTAGTTCAACCACCCAACTACTGATGTTGGCTTGTTCTAATGTTGCACCTTTGCCACCTTCAGCAGCTGGTTTTTCGAACTGGTCCTGCCTTCAGATTGAGCTGATGGTACAACTAAATGCCTCTTCTGGACATGCTATCTAGCTAGACTTTTTCCTGCTTTAGCAACCTTCATACATTATATGGGAATTGGTACATCATACTCAGCTGGAAAAAAAATGGCCACATACAGCAGTAACTCTGCTTACAGTAATTCCAAATTTCTTCCTATTATGGGGCTCCATAGTGGCTCATTATTTCCTATACTCTTCTACAGCCACTAAAGATTTCTAGTTTTCTAGCACTTTCCCTGTGAAATGGAAAGGAAAGAACTTGTCAGATTCATCTTTATAGCAGAATGTTGATTTGCAAATGAAGTGTTGATACATTGTTGATGTTACTTATTTAATAAAGCTGTAGTAGATATTAGCAGGGCAGATAGGTATTCTAAGAAAATGGCTTGACAGAAAAGCTGAAAGAATTTGTTTAGAATTTTAGAATTATCAAAGGGCTTCATGTTCATTTCACCTAGATAGGGAGAGGATATCTCCTTTTGCCTAGAGCATGTCTCAACCATCCAGAATTAAAATGGCTATTCCGGCCAGCGCGGTGGCTCACGCCTGTAATCCCAGCACTTTGGGAGGCCGAGGCGAGCGGATCATGAGGTCAAGAGACCGAGACCATGTTGAAACCCCGTCTGTACTGAAAAATACAAAAATTATCTGGGCGTGGTGGTGCATGCCTGTAGTCCCAGCTACTCGGGAGGCTGAGGCAAGAGAATTGCTTGAACCCGGGAGGCAGAGGTTGCAGTGAGCCGACATCGTGCCACCGCACTCCAGCCTGGCACCCGGCGACACAGCGAGACTCTGTCTCAAAAAAAAAGGAAAATGGCTGTTCCAATGCAGCAAATGGGAAACAAATTTGAGTTGTACTGAAACGGGTTAAGGGCTCTAATTCCTGTCTAGTCTGTTGGTTACACTCGAAGAATATCTGTCTAGTTAAATACATGATCAGTATTGAAAGGGCTTTGTTATAATAGCCAAGAGTACTGGTATGATAAATTTGGCAAGGTTTCAGAGTGCTTGCTCACAGCTAGCAAGCAGAATTCAAAAACGATGTAGAAAGTTGTGTAACTGCAGTTGCACTGACACTTTCATATGTTTAGAAGAGACTTGTATCTGAAGAAAATTCTTTTTTAAATAGTTTCTCAGCGGAGATTATACATTTTTAGTCTGTAGCGCACAGGAAATTCTAGTTACCAATAGCATGTTCGATATGAACAGATCTCTGCCTAATTCTTATGCATAATGAACCCAATTTTCATCTCTTCTCGAAAGATACTGAAAACATGTGTCATAATCTCAGTGTTAGAACCAGACAGCCTCATTTTTCACAATACAGAAGAACCACCAACAGGGTGTAAAGTTCATGTCTGGCATCCAAGGAACATTTCCATAGAACGTAGGAAATATTTAGATGTCTATTTGCCATGGTGGTGGTGTTCCTATGTACCTTCTGTGACCCTAAAGACATAATGTTTGACATTTTTGTTACCAAGTAATGTGCATTCTAGACCTCCTAACCAGGCTGCTGACTCCATCCCTTACCAGATCTTCACGTGGTTCTTGAGCCTCACTGCAGGCTCCAGTGCTAGTCCCGAAAGAAATCAGAAAAGGGTTGAAACCACTGACACAGCTCCTCCTAACACAGGTGTAGTTTCCCGTAGTGAGCAGACCGGGGCCCACAGGAACACTGCATGCTTGCACTAGGCTGTTACCAGTTTCATGGAATTATGTACTAATTGTGTCACTGTGTTTTCTTGTCATACCGTCCCCTTTCTAGGCGGCTCTGGCACCGTTGATTTAAACTATGCAACCGTCTGGTCCAGATGCCGTAGAGACTGATTAGCCGCACAAGGCCACAGAATGCACAACCGCCACCCGGCCAACCCACCTATTTCCTTCACATTCTAGACATCATGACGTCCGAGAGTGGGTCCAACGGGCTTCGGGTGTTCTGGAGACACTACACGCTTCGCAGAGGAATCTTCTCGGGCCCCGAGCGTTGCCCGCCCAATAGGTGGCATCGGCCCCTCTAGCAGGTCTCGCGACAACTCCCGCCCAGCGGCCGCCCTTGCCGCGCGTGCGCAGCCCCCGGAGTCTCCTTCCGGCGTCTCCTTCCGGCGTGGCCCAGGCAGGGTCCGCAGCGCCAACCATGTCGGATTACGGCCTGCCCCAGTACAAGAGCGGGGACCTGGTGTTTGCCAAGTTGAAGGGCTATGCCCACTGGCCGGCGCGAATAGAGCACATGACCCAGCCCAACCGTTACCAGGTGTTTTTCTTCGGAACCCACGAGACGGCCTTCCTGAGCCCCAAACGCCTGTTCCCGTACAAGGAGTCCAAGGAGAAGTTCGGCAAGCCCAACAAGAGGCGCGGTTTCCGCGAGGGGCTGTGGGAGATAGAGAACAACCCCACAGTCCAGGCCTCCGACTGCGTTTTCGCCCCGGAGATGGGCGGTGGAGACGGGCCCCGGCCGGAGCCCGAGGCCGCAGAGAGCGACGCGGACAAGCCGAACCACGCCGAGGGCGGCGGCGACGAACCAAGGATGCCGGACGACGACGAGCCCGCCGAGGAGGAGAAGGGGCCGCTGAAGAGGAGCGCGGGGGACCCGCCTGATGACGCCCCCAAACGGCCCAAGAAGGCCGACCCCGACCAGGAGGAGGAGGAGGCGGCGGCGGCGGAGGCAGAGGCGGAGGAAGCGGCCGACGTCGACGTGGAGAGTCCGCTGCTCGTGGCGGTGGAGAACGGCAGCGCCCCTCGCGAGCCAGGCCTGACCTGCGAGCCGCCTCAGCCAGAGGAGGAGGAGCTCCAGGAGGAAGAAGCCGATGACGAGGAGCCCTCCCAGGAGTGGGATGCCGAGGCCCCCGGCGGCGGAGATCCCGACAGCCTGTAGTTATCACCGTTTCCAGAAGAGCCCCCCCCCCCCCGCCCGCCCGTTCCTGCTTTGGCCTGGCTGTTCCTGGAGAATCTGGCCACCGCCTGCAAACGGGGACTGCCTTTTCCCCATCCCCGTCTCGTCCCTCTCCAACCCACTCTCCTTAGTTATGCCCCGTCCCTGGATGGAAGGCCACCTGGCTCTCGCCTCTGTGCCGCCGTGCCTCTGTGATCTGAGTCAGGCCCTCAGTTCGCTGGGATAAAGTGAGGCCACCATCCCTCCTTTCCTCTCCTCTCGCCCCCGCACCATTACCCTCCCTCCCCACCATCACCCTCCCTACCCCTGCCCCATCATCATCACCCCCCTCCCTCCGCTTCCCCCACCATAATAGCCACCGCCTACAAACTGGGACTCCCTTTTCCCCCTCCCCATCCCGTCCTCCTCCAACCCACTCTCCCTAGTCATTCCCGGCCCCTGGATGGAAGGCCACCTCGCTCTGGCCTTTTTGACGCCACGCCTCTGTGATCTGAGTGAGGCCCTCATTTCCCTGGGATAACGTGAGGCCACCATCCCCTGCTTCCCTCTCCTCCTGCCCCTCCACCATTACCCTCCCCCCGTTGCCCACCATCACCCCCCCCGCCCCTTTCTTGGATCCGTTTCCGACTTGGGGCTCAGGCAAGCTGTTTTCAACCTTTAGACACCCCTCTTCAGCCCTCTCCTGCTTCCCGAGGCATTGTGGACCTCCGCTTAGGAATAAGGGTAGGAGTGGAAGGCCTGGAAGATAAAGAGCAGGGGACACTTCCAGAGCCTAGGAAGGGGCAGTCTTCAAGCGGTGGGAGTTAGCAGGCAGGAGAATGACATCTTCTGGAACTCCTGTTCATTCTCCCATCTCTCCCAGCTTCAGACATTCAGGGAAAAGTAGGGCAGCATGTGGGGAATGGCCCCCCCTTCCACAAATCCTTTTACTGACCCAGGAAGTTCTGGGAGTTGCCTTTTTTCATCAGAACATTTGGGGGCTTCCAAGTTGTTTGTGAGATCTGAGAACTTGACTTTGCCCAGTATCCTGGGTGGGGACAATGAAAAATATCTGTCCCCATTTAGATCTCTGGGGCCACTGATGAGATGCCTTGGAAAGATCCTTGGCTGCCCCTTTCTCTCCCCACAGCCTCAAGGCCATCCTATCGTCATATATGTCACTCAGGCATAGAAGAAAAGACACATATTTTAGAAAATCTTTTTTATGTAAGGAAGTTATAAAAAATTTTAAGAACTACCCCTAGGTGTGCCTCCATACTGGCTCTAGCTTTCCTGTTGGTCTTCCATTTCTGAGATGAACTGGAAGGCTCCTTTACTGTTTGAAGTTTGATGACTTGTAAGGCTTTGCTGTTCCTCGGTGTCATTTTCTACTGATGTACCCCAACCTGGTCCCCTCAACAGGTCTAGTATGTGGCTCACTGATAAAGCAGGAAGATGCCTCTCCTCCCATCCTCTTCCTAATGGTCTCTATGCCTTTCTCCGTTTATTGTCTGTCTTACCCCTTCCCCTCTCCCTTGGGCTCTGATGAAAAATTGTTGACTGTAGCTTTGGAAGTTTAGATCTGAGAACCAACCGTAGGATATTTCAGTTCTAGGAAATAAAACAGTTTATTACTTTAAAGCAAATTTTCTCAGGCCTGTTTCTTTGGTTTCTGAAGAATTGGTACGTAAATGGAATGCTCCTCTTATTTTCTATACATGTTGTGTTAAAGCAATTATTTGTAATATACAGGGGCATTTTAGAATCACCCTTGAGAAACCTTTGTTATTTTAAGATCTCTATTCTTCACTTTATAATAGTCATTACCACTGATTTGAATAAATTGGAAGCAAGTTAACTTAGAATGTTTGGATGATGACAAATTAGGACAATGCTTTGCCAAAAAAAAAACTGCTTTGTAGAAAAATAGGGTGAAAGAATTGATCCTTTTTAATTTTCCTGCTGTCCCACATATTACTTCTGTTTCTTCCAATTCTTTACTTATGAAAATAAGATGCTTTATCCTCCCAGTTTGTAAAATAGAGTATCTAGAATATTTTGCATTTGCAAGTGGCTTTGTGCAGATATCTCACGATATTTAAAAATAATCATGGTTACATGTTGGGCATCCTAATTTCTGTATTTATCAGCATTGCATGCATACATGGCTTCAGTCAATACTGTAGTCCTTCTCCTAGAACACCTGTGGCATCGGTAACCAGCTGGGTTGGCAACTGAAGACAACCCTATTTTCTATCCTTGTAAAAATGGTATTATTTTGCTCCAAAATACATAAATCAGATGATTCCTTGTTTTTCGACTACTGTTATTGCAATAATCAATGCTAGAAATGACTAGTCACTGAATGTCTTCTCTTTGCCCAGAAGATGACCTCATTCAATCTTTATAATAATCTGGCAAGGTATACTCAAATTTTTCATTGGAAGAAGCTCTGGTCCGGAGGTTAAGTGGCCTTTCCTGAATTTCACAGAACATTCAGGACTCAAACACAGGTTTTAGTAGTCCAAAGCCTGAGCTCTTTCTCCTGAATTGCATATTTAGAAAAGCACTAACAATGAAATCAGAAGTCAATAAAAGCCAATCTAGTATTAACAAGTAATCATGATAGTAGCTATTACTGAGTCTCTAAAGTGAGCCAGGTAGTGTAGTATGCTTTATACTTAATGTCTTTATTAACACCACTACCTAGTTAGGTAGCTACCAACACCTCTGTTTTGGAGCTCAGGGAGCCAGGGTTCAGAGATGTTAAACAATTTTCCCAAGGTCATACAACTAGTAAATGACAAAGCCAAGATTCAAAAGCAGGTCTTTCTCATTCTGAATCATAGGCGCTTTGTTTCATTATACATTATTGCTTCTCATTGAATAAAACTTTCTACTGAATACAATGGGAACACTTACTTTCCCCTACTATTTTGAAGCAAACATTTAGAAATTTGTAAGGCAAAGAATATATTAACACACATTGCTAGTGAGTGTTTAAACAATATCATTTGGAGCAGCACCTGACAATTGTCTTTAAATGACTTGGTGAAATGATGAGGACAATCTCACATTCAATATTTTTCAAGTTGTATGTGACTATAGGAAGTTTGAATATAGATTGCTATTTTTGCTGCAGGTGGGCATTTGATTTTGATAAGGCTTTTATGGAGGCACATGAAATGATTCAATAAGGTGAAGTATAGAAAATGAAATTACTAACATTGTGTCTGTTTCTTTGCACTATTTCCTCTTCTTGTGCTTCTAATATTGGGGGTAAAAATAGTTGTTCATTAGGACTTAACACACATTTGCCTTCTTGGTGACAATAGTATTGAAGTGAAAGTAGTAATCCAATATTGAAAGCCCAAACCTCACCATTTTGCAACATCCATGTAACAAACCTGCACATGGATCCCCTGAATCTAAAATAAAATGAATAACTTCCAAGAAATTCAGTATGCGTCACAATTAACAAGCAAGAAGCTTAAAGAAAAAGTCCAGCTAGTAACATCTAATGCATGATACACTGAGTAACCAAATAAAATTAAACCTAATAAAAGGAACTATGGAAAAAATCTGTATTCTCAGCCCTGTTTTCCTGGGTATTAGACCCTATTAATATGCTTTGGTTGCCAAGAGATATTTTTGTGTGGACTGAAAAAGATGTTCTCAATATTTTCTTCTATTGAAAGTTCCCAATAATTCCAGTGTTGTTTTTGTTTTCCTCTGAATAACGTGTGCCTCAGTGACAAAACTACTGATCAATGAGTAGTTACTTAACTGAACGAAGGGCATTGCTCAACCTTTTGCTAATGCTGTGTTGTTAGTAGTCTAAACATGTCCATGAGTGTTTGGAAGATCTTGTTTAAAAGTTGCATGTAGGCCGGGCGCGGTGGCTCAAGCCTGTAATCCCAGCACTTTGGGAGGCCAAGGCGGGTGGATCACGAGGTCAAGAGATCAAGACCATCCTGGTCAACATGGTGAAACCCCGTCTCTACTAAAATTACAAAAAATTAGCTGGGCATGGTGGCGCGTGCCTGTAATCCCAGCTACTCGGGAGGCTGAGGCAGAATTGCCTGAACCGCGGAGGCGGAGGTTGCGGTGAGCCGAGATTGCGCCGTTGCACTCCAGCCTGGGTAACAAGAGCAAAACTCCGTCTCAAAAAAAAAAAAAAAAAAAGTTGCATGTAAACGTATGCTTATGATACTGCCAGTGATTTGCATACACATTTAGCATACTATTTCACATAAGGTTTTCAAAGTATCTGATATTTCATGCAAACATCACTGTAGCAAGGCACTGAGATGCCATTGAGGGCTGTCAATTTTGCTGTTTTCTTTTAAGCAGGATTGAGCTTTCAACTGCTCTTCAGATTCTCATTAGAGCTGCAGACTCTTCTTTCTGGCTGATATCTACATTTTATTTTTCCTGAAAATATAGGCATCTTCTATTCACTTCATCATCAACACTCATGTCAGACAAAACCTGCTACTCATACAGCTCCCTGCATTTTGAAAGAATTGCCTCACTCTTCTGAGCCTGACTTAAGGTAAGACCCACCCCTGTGTGTTCCTGTAGAGCCCTCTACTTGCGCTGATCCTATTCTATTGTCCTGTGTATTCTTTGCTCTTCCACTAGACTGGAGGATAAAGGAAATGTGTTTCATTAATATTTACTCCCACTTCCCAAACATATCACAATAAGCACACAGTAGGTATGTTCTAAATGCTTGAAGGTCTGTTGTCAAATACTGCTTCTAATCCTGGTGCTAGAGTAAAAGTCATGTGATGTTGAACACATTTTGATTCTGAAAGCAGAGAGGCAAGGTAAACTGGCCAGTATACTAATGGCAAATGTGAGTTGGAGTGATTTTCGGTCCATGTCATAGCTGCCTAGATTAGGTGATTTGATTGGCATTGACAGTTCTTACAGACCCAGAGAAATCTCCCTTTTAATGTCAGGGTAATGCTATTTATTCTATCTAGATCTTCCCGCTATCTGGGTCATTTATTGCAGTTTAACCTTCCACAATGCATGGGGCCCCAGGTAGGCAAGAGAGCATCCTGCTTGCTGCCACGCAGGAGCCATGCATTCACCATTCAGCCAAAAATTTACAATAATAGAGAAAGTATACCAAAAAGAACTTGAATCTGCCATTCCCTCAGCCTCTTGTCGTGTAGACACCTCATTTGCTATAGACATTTCTCAGAATTTAATATCTTTGAAGGAAGGGAATCTGTTCACCCCACAGTATGGTTGGCCCAAATCTTATAAGCCAGTTATCTGTCTTGAATATATCTTTTCCACTGCTGCTGAGAAAACTGACTGTATTAGACCTCGAGATCTCTAAAATAGAGACGTTCTAAGTGATTTTCTAGAGTAATTCTGACAGCAGGCGATTTTCTCTGTGCAGTCTGATTTTACATGTAAACTTCAACTTCACTGAAATGGTCTTGAGAATGCCAGAGGATACACAGAAAAGATCACAACAAAAGGCTCTGATGGCCAGAGGCAGCTTGGGGCATATGTTGACTAAGGGCAGCCCTAGTCATAGAATGGCCAAGCCTTCACATGCGGACCAAAGAAAAATTTATCCAACTTTATTGGCGTGATACGTGGTCATTGCCCAAGAACTATGAGTCACTTGGTTAGTGCCCTTTTCTTCCCTCTGTTTTTTAAAAATCTTTTTGAAAAGGTTCTTCCTTCTGCCCAGAAAGCTTATAGCTCTCTTCTCTTCTTCCTCTTGATGCAGAGTTACTATCTCATAGTGCTTTCCCTGAAGTACTATGTCAGAATGAGGTGTCACTTCAATGTGTTCCCATAAGAACGTGATTTTCCCTTAGTAGTATCTACTGCACTCACCTATAGTTATCTATTTATTGGTTTTTATGAAATAATAGGTTGTACATTCTATCTGGACAGGACTATATTATTTTGTTTATTTAAACCATGTGCCTGGTTGATATATATTAAGCACTCAATAAATGGTTGTTAATAAGGAAATGGCTAAATCCTGGGGCTCAACACCCTCACTCTAGCCCTAAGAGGAAATTTCGAGGAATTTTGTCATGCCCAGTAAAACATGGTAGGTAAGGAAAGGCAGAGATTGTGTTTTACTAAGTTTGTACCCTTGATTGAGCAAGATTTTTTGTTATAAATAGGTGTTGGTCTCACAAAATAGCAGACCTTAGCAAGACAGGCCTAAGGAGGATAAATCAAATTATCCAAGGTTGCCCTCTGAATCTGAGTGTGAATATGCATGTCAAACACAACATTCGTCTGCTTTAGTGATTTTTCTCTTTAATAATCTGATATTTTATCATCAACTTCCTTCAATATAGAAAGCAGCTTAGCGGTTTTTGGCTTTAGAGTCATCCAATCTTAGATTTAAATCCTGGGCTCCACTATTTAAGAGCTGTGTGATCTCAGTTTCCTTCAACTAAAGGCTGTGATGACGACTTTCATGTGATAGCTTAGTTGTAGAAGCAAACGTGCTCATGTATGTTAAAATATCAAGCATAGTACCCAGCACAAAGTAGGTACTATGTACTTGTTAATTCCATTCCTTTCCGTGTATCCAGAGAAATTTATGAGAAAATTCCTTTCCGTGTATCCAGAGAAATGTTATTGAGAAAACACCTGAGGCCTTTGCCAGATGCAAGCAGCTCCCTCATTTTGATAGATATATGATAATTCTTTATTTAGTCTGCCCATACACAGAGAGGAACTAAAACTCTTATTCTCCCAATTATTCATATTGCTCTTCAATACCTTCTTTAAATTCCCTCACTGGTAGCTGGATTGCTTCATATAGACACATCCGGTTTTAAAGATCCCTCTTTCTTGGCATGATTCATCTCTCCTGTGGCCAGTTTTATTCCTTGTGTTATTTCCCTAGGATCCAGTCACTGTTTTCCAGGCGGCATTTCTTAGATTTGTCTCCTTGAACTCTTTGTATTATTCCTGATTTTTTTCCAACTGTTGATATGGTAATTACATTGCTCTAGTTATTTCTTGGCTTCCTGGCCTTTTTTTCTAACGTACCTATCTTTTCACACATAATTTTAATGAGCTGCCCAACTCGATTACTAAAAGGCACTGGAGTGTTACAAGGGATTGACCATTCTTTCCAGAAGTTCTCTCCAGTTTCATGTACTCCTGTGATTTACCAAGTATCACTTAATTTTTCTTTTTCTTTTATTTCACACCCTGGCCAACTCTTCATCACAATCATTATCCGCCTCTCTTGGTGATCTACTTAACGTTTCATTAAAAAATGTGTTCAGCTGAGCTCCTTTCTTCCTACTCTTCACATGTCAACAAGACCTGCTGCCCCATTTTCACTAGTGATTCTTCCGGTGCTCAGAATTTGTTAATCATCAGTTCTGTCCTTAGCGCAGTCCTTCCACACACCCTCCCTCAGCAACATCTGAATTTCAGTCTAGGCTCTTTCCCTCCTGTTTTCTTTCCTTGTTTTTACCCTTAGATGTTGGGACATCGCACTGATTTTAGTCAATGAGTACTGTGATGATAGTGCCTGAAAAAAGCCTTTTAAAAGAAAAGCAGAAATAGGAAAAGACAAGGATAACTGTCCTATTAGGAGTCTATTTTTTTTTTAAGTTAAAATCTGCTGAACTGTTAGAAACCTAATAACTTTGCTTTCACGTATTGTGGACGTTGCGAGATGTGAAAACCAGAGGAGAAAGCATTCTTGCCACAAGGTGTGTGCCTGCATTGCAGGAGGGCCAGCTGTGAGGCTGCGGACAGAGCAGTGAACGAGGCACAGAAGCTACCTACCTTCCTGAAGCCTGTATTTCATGGGAAAGACAGACAGACAGACGATGAATAACTGAGACCATTTCAGAATGTAATCATTATCAGAGTGTGACAGAGAATAAGTGAGGAATATATACTTTGGATTATGTCAAAACTAAACTTTATATATTAGAGTGCTCTTTGGAAGTGTATGGCTCATTTCAAATTCAGCCATTTTAGTAGAACAAAATATTGCTTCAGTACTGTGAGTTTACAGTTCTGTTGCCTATACTAGTGGCTCTCCATCTTTTTAATGCATAGAAAAATATCCCAGAGACTTTCATGCCAGTAAACATTCCTTTATGTGTGCAGCACCCACTTACTGAATGTTTACTATGTGCCACATGCTCTTCAAGGGTCTTGAGATACAATACTAAACAGTATAAGGTTCGTGACTTTTTGGTGCTTCCATTTTAGCAGGTGGACAAAGGCAATTAGGAATAAACCTAATAAATAAGGAAATTATATTGATGTGAGAAAGATGTAAATGCCACTGGAAAAAACAAAGCAAGGACCAGAAAGTAGCAGGGGAGATGGTGCAGTTTCAAGTACAGCAGTAAGAATGGTGGGCAAGTTTATGTGAACACCTGGGGTTTTCTCTTTCACTTCTCCTTATCCCATTAGAAGGTAAGTAAACAGAGTGGCATCCTTCTAAAATTACCTTGAATCATTATAATGGGTAAAATAGAAATAATCCACAAACTCAAAATTTTTTTCTACTTATAAATTATTACTAGTGGCACACCTCCCAGCCACGAGAGATACACAAATCCTGTAATATCTGAAAGGAAAGCCGTTGCTTGGTAGGACTTCATGTCAGTTTGTTATGTATGCCTATGTGGCCTCCTTTGCACTGTGATATAGATCTATATTTGACCTTTATTTTATTTACCATTTTGTGTGCTTGTTTTAATGTCTCAAATAGAAAATACTCAGCCATAGGGACCGTGAAATTTATTTTTCTGAATCTTCCGTAATACCTAGCCGAGCATGTCACAAAGCATCATCTGTTTTTATTGACTAATTTAACATAATAAAGTCACAATATAGCCACATGTTAACAGCACACCTCAGCATCCTGAGAGCATGTGCACGTGTGAGGTAAGTTTCCCATGAGACAGGAGTCCTAATAGTAGCTGGATGCCAATGAGCTGGATGCTGTGGCGTATTCATGAGCCACATTGTATTGCATGCTACAGTTTAAGCTTTGCAGAGTCAGCATATTTGCCTGAACACCTACCCTATCCCCATCTTTATAGCTTATGTCACTCGCTTTTAAATGCAAACTGAGTGGTTTACATTGGAGTATGCATAGCAAGGGAAGCATGTGTGTATAGGTAGGGAATATTCTTAAGATACCTTTCTATTTTGCAATTTCCTTCAAGGTCAAGTTTTTCTTAAATCATATAGAGATACTTTTCTATTACATTTCTTGTCATTTTAAAATCATTTTAGGCTTTGGAAGCCTTCTCCATTTTTTTCTGGTCCAGGATTTGAATTGTTGTTTGATGACAGGAGCCAGAGTTTAGAATTGGTGTAATAGATATAAATCTAGTATGTTCTCAATATACTATCCAGACTTCCAAGTAGAGGCCTTGTGAAGTCCTGGGTTTTTGTAAAATATACCTTGAAATGCCAATATTTTAGATAAATAATTGAAGGCTGGGTTGGAATGATGGTGCAGACTGTGTAAAGAGATTCATGTAGGATAAGCTAAAAGCCATCTTTCACAATGTAGAGAAAACCCATAGTTTTGCTCTTTCTACTTGGTTAGCATTCTTAACAACTGCTTACCTGTGAGCAGGCATTGCCATTAGGACTGAATGTCACAGCCTTGAAGAAAAATATCTACGTTAAAGTCCTGTGGTGATGCAGAAAAGGAACAAGCACATGTCAGGGCTGTTGGAGCCATATCAATTACTAAAGTAGGTAAGTATCCACCCTCTCATATTTATTGTGACTGTCAACATGACTATGTAGTTGACAGATCAGGGCATGTCACAAAGCATCATTCATTTCTATCGATTAACTTAAAGTTAGGTCATGTTGATATTTTATTTTAGTCGTGCTATTGTAGATGTTTGAATGCCAAGAAGATGTAATTCAGTGCAGGTATCTTATAATATTTTTGACTCTGTGTGTTTAAAAAAGAGAGAGAATAATTACAATGATATTTTATCTTCCAAGTGCTCAGTGTGGAAGGTAAAACACAAAACCAAAACACATTCTACTTTCTCTTGTCCCATGCTTGGCTCCTCAGAAAAAAAAAATGTCACCTTATCAACTCTACAAACACTACACCATGCAAGAGAATAAACCTCTGGCCCTTTGATTGTGGTCACCCTATGAACTTGTTAGAGTCCCTCAGGGTTAAATATAAAGAATAATGAACTGCTTAAAAATGGTGGGCTGCAATGATAATTCCAGACCTTCATACGGAGTCATAGCCTGCCATACGTGTTATCACCCAGAGTCAAAGGGAACCTCCTCAACAAGCTGCATATTGGTGAATCTCTTTTTCTGATCCTGTAGGACCAGGATGGATACCAATTTATCAATATTGAAAAAACAACAACAAAGAAAGACCATGTCACAGATGGTTAATGACAAGGTGCCTCTTTATTCTTGGAAGACTATTTTAGCAGTTAAAATAAATAGATGCCCCCAAGAATAGATGCCCACAAAAATAATTAGCATACCATATATCTGCAGGGCTGCTCTCTGCGCTTCCCCTGTTTGGCTCAGGGGACAGACAGTAGTATATTGCTGCTGCCGCCACCGCCTCCCCCTCATAAAGGCCATTATTCATAGCAGGGCACTGGAGGTCACTAG